AGGGAGAGAGAGAGAGAGACAGAGAGAGAGAGAGAGAGAGAGAGAAAGAGAGAAAAAGAAAGAGACAGAGAGAGAGAAAAGAGACAAACGGGAGACAGACAGACAGACAGAAAGAAAGAGAGAGACAGATACAGACAGACAAACAAACAGACAGGCAGGCAGGCAGGCAGGCAGGCAGGCAGGCAGACAGACAGAGAGAAATCTTGTGTCTAAGGGTATGGGTGTTCCACAGTTGGGAGCCCGAGCCTGCTAGTATATTCGTACTTGAAGGTCAGCGTCTGTGTAGGTGAGACGCAATCAACATCATCCGGTGCCTTGCCGACTGGCGTGGGCGATCATGGACCTCCATTTCACTCTGACGTTGTGCGCTGCAGCAATGGTGTCTGTTCTTCTTGCTGTTCCCAGCCATGTTGTCATCTTGTCCAGTGTCATTTCCGTCTGTCTGCCTCTGCCTCTCTTTCCATCAAACTTACCTTTTTATTACAATATTCTCCAATGCTTCTTTCCGCATTGTGTGTCCAATGAAATTTGCCTGTCGCTTTCGTATATTCGTCATAAGCTGTGGTCTGTAATTTGCTTCAACAAAGACTTCTTCATCTGTTTTTCATGGGATATGCGGCATGCGTCTTATGAACCACAACTCTGTCGCCTGAATTATTCTGTCCAGCTGTCTATTGATCCGTATAATAGGATTGGCTTGATGCAACTTTTCAGTACTCTTTTTCTAGTTTCCAGAGACACTTTGATGTTTGTAAGTGTCTGTTTAATTTTGTGGAAGGTTGCTTTTGCTATACTTTGCCATTTTGTTCAACAGAAAAATTGTGCAGATCCACTACCAATTCCTTCCATAAAACAGTACAAAAAATGAGTCTACAATCTGACCTGACAGACACCACAAAGATCTCCACTTACCCGAGAGGATGCTGCAGGACAGAGACCAGAAGTTCGACTGCCAGCGCTGAAGCCACCATCGAGATGCCCGGCCGCGTCACGGTACACTGCTGGTCCAGAGTCCGGTCCCGAGTGGACTGAGAGGAAAGACGCAAAAAGCAAAAAACTCTGTATAACAAATCGTGACCACAGTGCTTTCTTGTCGTATCTCAATTTTTTTAAACAGGGGAAATGTGACTTCTTCTTAAGCTCACTCTTTGTTATGAACTGTTTTCACAGTTATTAAAAATATAGATACGACAAGAAAGCACTGAGGTCGCAACATCTTGTATTATCAATACTGTTTTTTATAAAAAGTACAAAATGGGGAAAATTTTGGAAATCTGGATTTCTGCGATTTATCCGGAAAATTGGCACCTCTGAATGGAACCTTCATTTTCGTTTTCGTAAGAGTTTTACGGTACTTGCAACACAATAAGGTCAAATAAGTGCCCAAGATAAGAGGTGTTACAAGAGAGTAACAAACAAAAAAAAGAAGGGAGATTGTAATAATATGGGACATAATCCACAATTGAGGAGGGGAGATCAATCCATAATCTTCCAACTTAGAACACAACATGTACCGCTCAACCAACATCTCAACCGAATTGGAGTAAAGCAGTCTGCTGCCTGCCCACTATGTGACTACCCCTCAGAGACAGTGGAACATCATCTGTTCTTCTGTAGAAAACTAACTGATTTAAGGGGATGTTTTCTTCCCAAGCTACCCCACACATCTAATTGCCTCTACTCCTCAAGAAAACAATTAGAACAAACATGCAACTATTATCGAATGGCATCATGCAGAAGAGTTAACGTTCAGATGCTACTGGATTGCTAACAACAACAACAACAATTCATAATTCACCACATTTGCTTGTCCATTATTATTATCAGTATGGGGAGACAATGAGACAACTACTCATAGAGTGGTTACAATGAAAGGGAAACAACTGATAATATAATGGACAAGCAACTGCGGTGAATTATGGATTATGTCCCATATCATTACAGAGATAAAGACGAAAGATGTTCGATAGGAAAGAAGGAGAAAATGACACTAGAGCACTGTACCCGCCAACTACACACCAAAAAACTCTGAATAAATAGTTCTGGATTATTAAAAAAAGACGATAAAAATGTGTTGAAATCTATCATGTCACATAGCTCTTACATGAAGTCTCTCAAAATCTTTCATAAAAATAAATGAAAATTAAAAAAAAAAAAATCTTTATCACGAAAGATGTTAATTTTGATAACAAATGTAAATGACATTTTTTTATGTTGAGTCTTTTCCGCAACATGTTTAAAAAATTTTCACATATCTTAAGACTTTTCCATCCAATCTCATGCACCTTTAACAGTTTTCTCATAGGATTTCAATTCTTTTATGGTATTTGTTTCTGCCCTCACATATGTGTCACGACGCGGTGGAATCAGGCCATCGTCAATTTTTGGGCATGTGGAGTTTTTGGCATCATTTTAAAGGTTGTTGTTCATTTGTCTTGCTTTCAGGGAAAAAAATACTCATATATAGCATAAATAGAAGTTGAGATATTTGCGATTGCAGGAGGTGGGGGGGTCACCTGGTTTCATTCAGAGGTAAAATTAGCCACCAAAGTTTGCTAACTTCAAAAGTTTAATAACAGTCCTAGAAAACTGATAATTAGAATATATTTCATGCGTTTTTTAAACAAGGTTTTTCATTGAAATCAACATGGAAATGTGTTTTCATGTGAACATATTAGGTGTTTAGAAAAATTAGAACAAAAATTGCCCACCGGCCCAAAAAATGCTGATTTCTTTGATTTCATTATTTTGACTAACGCCTGATTTCACAATGAAGCCTTACATATTCTGACTTTGTCCCAGCATACCCCCAAAAAAATCCTCATTTCCATATACAACGGTGTTGGCGTTAGCGAAGCCACAACTCCAACTTGTTCTTAAATGAATTCTTCCTCTTCTTTTTCTTCTTCTTCAAGTACAAGATATGAAACAGACATCTCCAATCACGGTAGGCAGGCCGCTCATTTCTCTGCTTGGATGTTCTAAAAAAAGTGAATATATTTCCCAGGACTTTCCCATCACCCCGTCTGTTTAAGTTTTCCAATAAAGTTATTTTTGTCTCCCTCTCCCTCTTTTGCCTTCTATTTTTTCAAGCGAGAGCAAGGTTTATGATTCAAGTGTCCCGAGAAACTGCATTCATATAAAATGAACATTCATATTTGTTGCTTTATCAGAATGCTTTCAGGTCTGCTGGGGTAAAAAAAATGGATTGTAAAACGCACAGAGCTTGCTGTCGAGCGGGAATTTGTGCTATACAAATCTGTCTATTATTATTATTACAGTATAACATGGATAGGTCCAATACAGGAAACTCATAATCACGCATTCATCGAACTGTGCCCACCTTCCAGTTTTTCTTCTTCTTTATCTTTGTAAGCAAATTACGCAAAGCTCGAACACAAACATGGAATAGTCGAACTAATTACGTCGCCATAGAGGTCCAAAGTCAATGTCCTTTGAGAAAGGTGCACTCGAGACAAAATAATAATGATTTTTAAAAAAGGAAAAAGGCAAGTTCGGTAAAATACCACCTTTCCCCCTCCACAGAAGCAACTAGCTGTGCTATTCTTAGCGCACTACGCGACACACGTGTGCCTAGCCTAGGCTTGTGTGGTGCGGGCGAGAGGAAGGGGTGTGTATCTCACGATCTATTGTTTTGCCACTAAAGTAGCAATCTTTGTTGCTTCCCTTTATTCTCTGACACAGCCCATGCCATAACACTGTTCACGTATCCCTCGAAGTACGGATCCCTTGAACTACCAAGGCCGTTCCCAACGATTTCGTGGTATCCATGTTATGCTGATTTATCATTTACCGCCAACTCACATTGCCAGGAGCCACAACGTCGTTGCAAAAGTAACAGCCCAGCTCACAGCCGCGTATCCTGCCGAGGGGAATGGCCGACGCCCCTTCCCTTTTTCTGGGTCCGTCGTCAGCCCTGACACCGTGGCGAAGAACCAAGAACGTGTCAAAGCCAAGAGCAGCGTTGATAACAATCTGTCGAATGAAAGGAAACAAATAAGGATCTTTCCCAACACATGAGAAGACTACGCAGGTGATAGTAGTACAAGTTTTTCTACTCCATTGACACAAAGTACACGCTGGTGGCTGGAAGGTGCCAATGATCACAGGTCCTACAACATTCCCTTTATTCTGTTGTTTCTATCTGTCGTCTATCTTGCCTTTTCCTTCCACAAATTGACCATTATTGTGTCAATGTGCTTCTTTTTACTACAAAACAACAATGCCCCCACCCCCTCTTATCCCTTCCCAATTTTCTGAAGAAAAAAAAAATCAACCTCACCCCAAAAAACCCACCCAATTTACATTGAATACTAGACAGGCTAATGGGGCCAAGTCTTCTTTACTTCTACTTTTCTGACCCAGCAGCCATCTGGGTTCAACCCCTCTGGCCTGTCGATACGGCAAAGAATTTACAGGTTTTTATCAGCTGTGAATGGGGCCAAGTCAAAAACAGGTAACGGGCACACGAAACTTCGGAAATAACGCTCATCATTTCACATCTCACTTTTCTCTTGGCGGCAGCAACGACGGTGGGCAGCCAGCGGCTCTCTCGTGTGTCCATCAACAGGAACACGGCGTCGTGGGCGTCAATCAGAGACTCCAGCTTTTTCACGTCCTCTTTCGTCTGCTCTAGGACAGAATCTGGGGACAGGGCAGTTCTTTGATGACCACAGATTTTTACTAGGTTTTAGTTTAATTTTAGAAAGAGTTTTTGTTTTAGTAGAGGTTATACGGCGCTCACAACTGCATAAGGTCATATGAGCGCCAAGGGGTAGATGTCAACAGAGAAGTCCTTACAGGGAATTAGGCTTACTCTGCTCACCTCTCTAGCCTCAACAGTACAAAGTCTGCTCCGACTATCAAGGCACCCCGGAAATAGCGGGTCACAAGAGAGTGACAAACATACAAAAGAAGTAGAGGAACAATGACGATAGTAAGGATTAGGAAAGACCTTATATGCAGTTGCGAGTGCCGTAAAACCTAACTAAAACTAAATTCTGTCCCCCCCCCCCCACTCATAGACAATCTCGTCATAAAATCCTCAAAAACAAAAACAGGACAAACAGAGCACTGATTTACCACTCACAAACCACCAGCAATCAGTATAATGATATAGACTGTTGAATGAAATTACCTGTTATAGCGTGTCCTGGCATGGGGATAGACAGACTGATTCCTTCGGATTGCTGCAAGTGAAAAAAAAATCAATGTCACTATTCTTTTTTGTAAGAGTTTTACAATACTTGCAACACAATTAGGTCATTCGGTGCAAAAAGAATAGATGTGTTACAAGAAAGTAACATACACAAAAAAGGAGGAGAGATCGGAAAGGACGACAGATGTTCGATAGGAAAGAAGGAGCAAACCACACCAGAGCCCCCACCAACCAACCATGATGTCAATATTCAAAACCCCAATCATACACTGTTCACAAACTGAAATAATATAATTGCACAGTGTTCCCTTGAATATCATAGGTCAAACAGCCAGGATTGAAAACTAACAGGTACAAGACAGAGAGAAAGACAAGGAACAAAGAGAAAAAGTCAGAGAATTGTAAGGACAGTTTAAGGCAGAAAAAGGAAGAAGTTGACAGCTGGATAAGACACAGATAGAGAATCCACAAAAAGCAAATGCACAGAAACACAAAATAGCATTAAAAGAAAAATATTAATAATTGTACTGAAAGAAAAACAAAACAAAACAATCCCCCCCCCCCTCAAATAAAAAAAACAACCCCCCCCCCCCCTAAAATACAATTGGTTAATACATTTCCAAATTTGTAGAAAAAAAAAAAAGAAAAGAGGGTCCAGGTCGTGGCAAAGAGCAAATTGTGTCACGATGCGGTGGAATCAGGCGCTCATCTATTTTTGGGCATATGGGGTTATTGGTATCATCTTAAAGCCTGCTCATTTGCCTTCCTTCTGGTGAAAAAATATCCATTTATGTTGAATAGAAGTAAAAATATTTGCGATTGAAGACGGTAGGGTTGCCTAGTTTCAAAGGTAGAATTAGCCAGAAAATGGCCGCCAAAGTCTGATCATTTCCATAGCTTGATAGTCCATGGAAACCGAAAACTTACATTATATGTGCCTTTTAGAAAACAATTTTCAGTAAAATTCACCCAGAAGTGTGTTCATAATTGGACAGCGATGGTGTTAAGCCAAAAAACAGAAATTCGATAAAAATTGCCAAACTGGCAGAAAAATGCTCGTTTCTTCAATTTCAGTATTTTGACGAGCGCCTGATTTCACCACGCTGCCTCAACAATATAAGAAGAAAATCACAGACTCATCATAAAGCAAGTCAGACTCGACAGCTTTGCTCAACCCACCATGCCCGGGAAGATGTTCCTGAGCGAGGCGGCTGCGGCCTTGGCCTTGGGCTGACCTCCGTTGATGCAGTCCTGGAACGTGAAGAGCGTCTGTCGCACGGGGTTGGAGTAAGAGACTTTGGAGTTGTCCACCATCGTGATGTGTCGGATGCCCCAGCTCTGTCCAAAGGCACACAAGTTTGTCAGTTTGAGACATTAGACAAACTTCCCCCCCCCCCCCCCCATACACGCCTCACCCCCAAAGAAAAAACCCCAGAATTGTTTTAAAAAGAGGTGGGGAGGAATAGACTATAGCTTCCAAATAATCAAAAGGTCGCTTTTAAGCACAAGGGGGTTATCCCGAAAAATGCTGTTTTGAGAAAATCGAAGGAAAAGTTTTTGGACCCTCCTTGTTCAGTTCCTTTAAAAGGCAAGAAGAGTTTTCTCTATAACCAAACAAATACACACACCAATGAAACCAAACTTCTCCTATAGGTAGGGCAATGCCCACTTTTAGAGTAGGTTAAGATTTCTGGAAACCCCCCTCCTTAAAAGCGACTAAATATCGTTGCTAGTCTAGTACTAGTGGTTCGGTTACTGGGCCTGGAATCATGAGGTTGTAGGTTCGGAGGTTCGAGGCTCGGGCACAACAATGTGTCTTTGGGAAAGGTATTTTATATGAACTTTACTCTGAGGTATCGAAAAAGCCCCTACCCCCCACTTATTAATTTTCAGTTTTTTGGGGCAAAAGTTAAACCAGGCCTATCATCAACAAGGATCGAACAAGTCACGATCTTTCGCCTACGAACACAACACATACCACTAAATTCCTACCTTAAGAGGATCCGCAAGGATACCCCACCCGACTGCCCACTGTGCGACTGGCAGGATGAAACAGTACCACACCACCTCTTTAACTGCCCAGCACTTTGTGACCTGCGTAGCACCTACCTACCTGCCTCCCCAAACATCGGAAATACTCTATACAGCGACAAAGCACAGCTGATTAAAACCTGCAAATTCTTTGCCATATCGACAGACCGAAGGGCGAGAACCCAAATGGCCGCTGGATCAGAAAAGTAAAGTAAAAGTATCAACAAGGATAGATTCTAAAAAGCAAAGTCTTTGTATGGAATAAGTCAGGCATACCATCAACAAGCGAGCCACATTACAGCCCAGGGTACCAGACCCTAACACCAGGCAGCGAGTTGACCCAATTTTGTCCAGTTCCAGGTCGGGCAAAAGTCTCCATCTCATCAACCTCAGATTGAGGTCAACAGCCGACTCCGCTAGTCTGGGGAGAGCAAAATATTGAGGTCAGGAAAGTTGAACAACTTCTTTTTCTTCGTCTAGCGTTGGATCTTAAACAGACATCGGCCATCAAGGCTCACCTCTCATTTCTGTTCAAGGTCTCTCTAAAAACACATCTATCCTGGTATTTTTAAGCCACCAATCTGACCAAGTTCTGTAAAAAAAAAAAGCTACCACTCAGTTCTCTGCTCAATATTATGCTCTTAAAAAAACAACAACCTTTATTATCCTGGTAATTTCATATCACCAACCTGTTTACATTCACCCAGTGGGTGGTTGGCGGGTGCTATGGTGTGGTTTGCTCCTTCTTTCCTATCAAACACATATGGTCCTTATCTCCCCTCCTTCTATTTTGTGTTTGTTACTCTCTTGTAACACTTCTAATCTCCGGCACTTATATCACCTTATTGTGTTGCAAGTGCAGTAAAACTCTTACTAAAACTTTAAAAAATATTGACCCAGAAAACTATTCATGGTCTACCTCAGTATCTCTCCCTCTTTTGCTTTCCTTTTTTTTTTCTTCATAGAAAGCAAAGATGTTCAAAGCTAAGGCTGAAATAGATTATAATGTCAAAGTGCTCCCTCCATTTTCACGCCTCTGTGTTGTTCCACAAATGAAAGGGAGTCTCTGAGTTTAGTTTTAGTAAGGTTTCACGGCGCTCACAACTGCGTAAGGACATATGAGTGCCAAGAGGTGGATGTCAACAGAGAAGTCCAAACGGGGATTCAGGCTTACTCTGCTCCCCTCCCTAGCCTCAACAGCATAAAGTCTGCTTTGACTATCAAGGCACCCCAGAAATAGCAGTTCACAAGAGAGTGACAAACATACAAAGGAAGTAGAGGAAAACAATGATAGTAAGGATGAGGAAAGAAAAAGGTGCAGTTCCCCCCGGGTTGTTCCAGCACAGTACGAGCACAACATTGATACGTCAGCCCATTTACAATTTTACTGTGCAGAAGAACAGGTTAATATCTCAACTTTGGGAATGGCCTAAAGACACTTCTGTCAGTAGCACTGCCTGGGTATGGGTGGGGGGGTGTCTCTGAGGTGATACATGAGAGTATTTTGGTTGGTGTATAGTGAGTGAGTGCTGGCATGAAGACGGGTGTGAGTATGTGCATGTGTGAATGAGAGCATAAAAGAGCATATGAGCATAAAAGTGGAGTGAATTTAAACATGCATGCACTGTAAGAGTGAGTGCGTGTTTGTTGGAGTGTGTGTGTATTTGCGTGTTTGTGTGTTTACTAGTGTGAGTATATGCTGAGCGGGAGTTAAGAACGTGAAACAATGAGCGCACCTGTCACGGATGGATGCTAAATATGTACGGGGGGGTGTCACTCAGACACTCAAAGGGATCCTAACAATAACACAAGAAAGGGAAGACAACAGTCTGAATACAATTTGTTCAAGATTGTGTTTTTCAGTATTAGTAAGAGTTTTACAGCAATTGCAACACAATCAGATTGTGTATCTTAGTTTTAGTATTAGTAAGTGTTTTACGGCACTTGCAACACAATAAGGTCATATAAGTGCCGAAGATTAGAGGTGTTACAAGAGAGTAACAAACACAAAAAAGAAGCAGGGGAGATAAAGACGATAGACGTTTGATAGGAAAGAAGAAGCAAACCACACCAGAGCACCCGATTGTGTATCTGAAAAATGGCGTATATATAACTGTCATAATCGCAATACCCTTTCAGATTCAGATATCACAAACCCATTGAGAAACCAAACACAATACAAGGTCTCTTGTGACTCAAAGTGTTACAGTATATCACATGACTGTCACATGACCAACATGAAAAGATAAGATACTTGTAGGCCACAGTTCTAGATTGTAAACAATTCATGAAATGTCATCTTGCCTGTCACAACAAGACCCAAGGTGAATCTAACCATAAAAAAAAATAATCTGAGTTATCCACTTCATTTTTTTCATTTTGTAAGACTGATTTCAAGCGATTTTTGCCTCCTTTCACGTTTATTTTTTAAGACAAGAGTTATATATATCAAGTTAACCAGTTCAGGGGCAGAATGTGAATTGACAACAACCTTAGAGGAAGCTTGCAACTGAGATGGAGGCTGGAGTTCTAATAAATGATTGAGACTGTAAGATCGCTGTCCTTTGTTCTTCGACTTAGGGTATTATAAATGTTAATTACACCCGACAGAGTGTGATGGGTCCTTGACAGCACAATGGTATTATTAACAAAATGGAAATACATTTTCCAAAGATTCATATCTAAAATGTTCCAAACCTTCGATCGCAATGGATGGTCAGTGGCTGCTCAAATATGACGACTTTTTTGTTTACATCTGTTCAGTGTTACTTTTACCCTTTTTTAATACGAGATTAGCCTATCTTTGCACCGAGTAGCTGAAAAAAACAAACAACCCCAAACAATTGAGCCCAGTAGGAAGTAATATAAAAACCCTGAAATTTGTGAACCGATAACTAGTATAAATACAAGGTTATCTTTTAAAGTCACCGCTTTTAAATGTTTCGTTTTAGTAGAGGTTTTACCGAGTGTGACAAACGTACAAAAGAAGTGGAGAAAAAATTACGATAGTAAGGATTAGGAAAGAAAAAGCAGCACTTCCCTGTTGCACTTCAGGCACAGTTATGAGCATGACATTGTTGAATCAGCCTATTTACAATTCTACTGTGCATTAGAACTGTTAATATCCCCCCTTTGGGAATGGCCTAAAGACACATCAGACAGTAGAACTGCCCCGGAGGGGGGGGGAGGGGGGGGGGAGAGGGACACGGCTATAAAAGGACCAACTAAAAACAGTGGAGCCAAAGCCAAGACAGACAGCCCACTCTGTGATACCAACAAGATAACGCACTCAGAGAGGAATCGCCGGCGTCGAGTAAAACAGCCCAGAATCCAGAACCTGTTCACTGGTCCATTCACTCACCTGGTGGGGTCCATGGAGCTGCTCAGGTTCACCATCCTGGGGCCCATCTTGGACCGTTCGTTCTTCTCCCATCCAACACACTCTGGCAGAACTAATGTTGATGAAAAAACCCACCAAAAAAACATTCCTATCAATTTATGTCAAACAAAATACAGTAAACTCACAGCATTAAAAAAGCATGACTGGTAAAAACGTGAGGACAAAAAACAAATTTTAATTCACATTTTAAAATGAGACTTATCTAAAAAAGTATGACAGTTATGATCTGATTACCACTGCAAAGCTCTTTCAAAGTTCAAAAGGCTAGGATATTTAGTTTTAGTACGAGTTTTACAGCACTTGAAACACATTAAGGTCATATAAGTGCCAAAGATTAGAGGGGTTACAAGAGAGTAACAAACACAAAAAAAGGAGGAGAAGAGATAAGGCAAGAATTTCACAAATTTAGTTGAATATCTTTCTTTGAAGGGCCTTTTTATTATACCAGGCTCCGTGTTGTTTACCCTTAGATCTAGCCTATATAGCTGTTTGATAGGACAGAAGGAGCAAACCACACCAGAGCACCCACCAACTACCCACAGGCTTGGATATGGTGAAATAACCGAGAGAAGAAATACGGAAAATAAAAGTGTGACTAGACCTGACCGTGGCCCATAGAAAGTGAAGTTAGAGCTATCAGCCGCATGACTGTCTGCACACTCACTGCTGTTGCCCATCAGGAAAACTTCTAAATACGAGAATGGCCTCAGAACTGAAGAGAATTCACGCATGGCTGATCTTGGTATCACACTACTCAATATTTCAATGATAAAGTAAGGCTAAGATGCTTCCATTCTGATATTAAAAGATTAGAGATAAAAAGTTTAATTTTTTTTTCTTCTAATTTCAGAGAAAATGAAGGAAATAGTTAACCTCTTCTTATGCAACCATGCAAAACAGACAGGGTATTAAAATCACACAAAAACAGAAATTCCAACTTTTGTAATTTATCTAATATAATGTAATAATATAGTGTAAAGCGCATAGAGCCTGCTGTTGAGCGGGGATATACACTATACAAATGCTATTTATTATTATTATTATCTTTAAAATGAGGTAAATTTTGTTAATACTAAACAATTCTGACGGGAACGGAAGGCAACACTTTTTACATCTGAGACTATAGACACATTCATACTTAAAATATCCTCTTTTTCCAGGGCGGGGATCGCAATGCTTGCCACAACACTCTGCCCGAAGTCCCGGACGCCGTCGTGAGTCCGGTCCCTGACCATCAACACTTTGATAGATTGTACTTTTCCCGTGCTGTAAACAAAACCAAACAGTAACTGACGAGAGCTCTTGTCATAAACCTTGTGAGTAGTACTACATTTTTAAAGACCTACAGAAGTTCATAGCACATTCTCAAGAAGGAAGAATAACAAAAATAAGTGAACAGCCTTTCTTTTCAATTCTAGAAGAACATTTTTTTTTCGGTCATCATGCAAACCTCAAAAATACTCATTTCTCTTTTTCTTTTCTTATAAATCTTAAAAAAGGGTTGCAAAAACTTTCATTACATGGAGGGAGATCTGACAGTCCATATCTACGTAAAATTTATTTAACACACATGAAACAGGATTTGCATAATATACAGAGTTCTTTTTTCTTTTTGGTAAGTGTTTTACGGCGCTCACAACTGTATAAGATCATATGAGTGCGCAACAGTGGAGTTCACATAAACCAAAATCTGCGGGACCACAGGATTTTTTTTATAGTTTTGCCATTTTTTCAGTCTGTTGACAACATAGAGCTGGGGATTTCTTGCTAGTGACAAAATTTCACTTTCTGAAGGATTTTTTTCCTCTATCTACCTCTTTTCACTGCAATTTGAGCTGTAAGATGTATGTAAGCATTACGCTTTCTCTTCAACATTGTCAGCTGGCTTAATCTGCCAAACAGTTACCCAGAACACATGGATGAGTAGATCAGCACACTGCTTTGTGCTAGTCTCATCATCATCCGCTGCCTTGGCGACTGGTGTGGGCGATCATGGACCTCCACTTCACTCTGCCTTGCGTTGCAGAGATGGTGTCTGTCGTTCTTGCTTTTCCCAGCCCTGTTGTAAAATTGTCCAGCATCTTTTCTCTCTGTCTGCCTCTGCCTCTCTTTCCATCAAACTTGCCTGTTGTTATAATATTCTCCAAAGTTTCTTTCCGCATTGTGTGTCCAATGAGCTTTGCCTGTCGCTTTTGTATATTCGTCATGTCCCCCTATCGAGATACCTGGCATTTCTTCTATGTGTCTCAAAATAGTAGGAAGAACAAGTCTTGTGCTAGTCTAGCAAAGAAATCAAACCCAATGCCAGTGATGTTATAAACACATCACATGTCCTCACATGCTCACATGTAGATAGGGCTTAGGTGAACTAACTTCACAGAGACATTAGGCTATGCCATGGCTTACTGATGGTCGCACGACAGACCAACATTCACCATCCTTGCTTCATCAGGCCTACAAGCAGGGTGTAGGCATAGTACACATGTGAAAAACATAGACAAACTGGCACTGCTTCTCTCTGGCCTACAATCGGCACACGTGCGTTTTTGTATCTCTTACTCCTGTTTTGCTATCTTGAAGCACGTAAGACTTAAGGTTTGTGTTACTTTGGAGTTGCAAGTGAAGATTTAGTTAGAAATGCGAGCATTTCGGCTAATCAATAGTTTTCTTCCAAAAGCAAAAATAAGCAGAGAAAAAATGGAACTTTATTTTCTTTCAGTTTACTGTTGTTTTTTATTTACCCGCGATCAGTTTAAGTGGAGATCACGATAGTCTGATAACACCACATCGCGACCCAGGTGCTTTCTTGTCGTATCCCCATTTTTTAATACCAGTGAAAACAGTTCATAACATAGAGTGAGCTTTAAAAAATGTCAAATTTTCACTGCTAAAAAAAAAGGAGATACGACAAGAAAGCACAGAGGTCGCAACATGTGAAATGCAGAAAGGAGGATACTTACTATCTGTAAGTCAAGAAACTGAGGAGGTTTCTCACAGGCCAGCCAGGGTAGCCTTGAACAGCACTGGGGTCACACACACCCACCATGACCTGAGCACAGACATAAACATTGTCATATATGGTGTTGTCATGCTCCGGCTTCCAGTAGTCCTCGAAGCGTTTGAACAGGACCTCAATCTTGTGCTGCTCTGACTGGGGCAGTGCCCATGTATTATATGTGAGGCAGCGTGGTGGAATCAGGCTCTCGTCAATTTTTGGTCATGTGGAGTTATGGAAATCATCTTAAAGCTTGTTCACTTGTCTTTATTCGGATTTAAAAAATATCCATTTATCTTGAATACAAGTCGAGATATTTGCGATTGAAGGAGGTGGGGGTCACCTGCTTTCAGAGGTAAAATTAGTGACAAAATGGCCGCCAAAGATTAGTTATTTCCTGAGCTTAAGAGTCCGTGGTAACTGACAATTTACATTTTTTATGCCTTTAATCAACGTTTTTCAGAAAAATCCACACAGATATGAGTTCTTTAATGGGCATGAAAGGTGTTGGGCCAAAAAACAAACATTTGAGAAAAATTCACAAACGTGAAGAAAAATGCAAGTTTCTTCACTTTGACTGTTCTGATGAGAGCCTGATTCCACCACTCTGCCTCACATATATATTTCTCTTCCAGCTCGCCCGACCATATACAGAAAGGCGCTGCACCTGTCTTTCTCAGACTCTTTCTGCATTGTTTGGTCAAGATACAACCTCATCTCTTGGCTCCACATTCTCCAGTTTTCAGCCAGGTGGAGGGTGTCTGCCAAGCAAAGTTCTTAGGGAGGACGTAATTTGGCCGTGTTTGTAAAATTGTCATTCAAGATTTCCAAACACTGAGTAACATGTTAATTGGTCGCTTTTAAGGACAAGTGGGCTAACCCAGATTTCAGGGGTTTCCAGAAATCTTGACCTACACCAAAAGTGGGCATTGCCCTTCCTATAGGAGAAGTTTGGTTTCATAGGAATGTATATTTGTTTGGTTATAAAGAAAGCTCTCCTTCTATTTTAAAGAAACTAAACAAGGGCAAAAACTTTACCTACGATTTTCTCAAAACAGCATTTTTCTGGATAGCCCCCCTATACTTAAAAGTGACCAATTCTAGTTCAATGTAATCTGCCAAAGTAGATATCTAAGAAACAATGTTTTTCGAATGTGGGTCTAGGTGTATTTACGCCCCTATCTGCAGAACTTAGATCATTTAGTAGGTGGGCTTCAGACCCTGTCTGTCAGGGCCCACCCGAGTTGAGAGGGATACAACATCCCAGCAGAAAGACAGAGATACTTGATAAAAGTTTTGCCCACTCGCGAATGAAACTCAGGTCTCCTGTGTGCTAAAGTGAGGTGTTTAACAGTTATAATAGATCATCGCATATCCATTTCGTGTGCTTATACAATAAAAATTTAGATAAAAGTCAAGAATGAACGTTTTTAATAAAAAATGTGAGGCAGCGCGGTGAAATCAGGTGCTCGTCAAAATACAGAACTCGCAGAAACAGGTATTTTACCGCCAGTTTATAAATTTTTATCAAATTTTTATTTTTTGGCTCAACCTCTTTTACGTCCATATAAAAACACATTTCTATGTGAACTTACTGAAAAACCATGATTAAAGGCACAAAATATGTCATTTTTCTGTTTTCAAGGAGTCTTTAGCTATTGGAGTTACCAAACTTGGGCGGCCATTTTCTCGTTAATTTCACCACTGAAACCTGGGAACCTCACTTACTTCAATCGCAAATATCTTGAGTTGCATTCAAGACAGATGGATATTTATTTCATAAGAATCAAGGCAAATAAACCAGCTTTCAGATAATATCAATACCTCAACATGCTCAAAAATTGACGAGAGCCTGATTCCAATGTGTCGTGACACAAATGTTCTTTTCAGAAGGCAAAGAAATTACTCTTACAGCTCAAATGATTGACGCAATCTTAAAAATAAAGCACAGAATAATCAGGTTTTAACCCTTTGAGCCCATGTGGTGGCGCATAAAACTGTCCGTATGCCACGCCATAGGTACACCGGTGAGCAAGACCCCATCCCGAACGTACGGAAAACAGTGTTTGCAACACAAAAAAATTATTGAGTATTTTGAAGATCTTTCTGAATGAGATGCTGGTATTGACAAAACTACCCTGAGTGGGATATGGAATGGGATTCTGACGATCATATAAAAGTTAGTAATAATATCACTCAGGAGCTCAGGCAGAGGGGTATGGTGGCCTCAGGAGGACACGGCTCGAAAGGTTAAGTTAGTTTTAGTAGTTTTAGTAAGAGTTTTACGGCACTAGCAACACAATACGGTCATATAAGTGCCGAAGATTAGATGTGTTACAAGAGAGTAACAAACACAAAAAAAGAAGGAGGAGAGATCAGGATGATAGATGTTTGATAGGAAAGAAGGAGCAAACCTCACCAGAGCACCTGCCAACCACCCACAAAGGGTTACATTAAAAGGGTTAAGTTAAAAGGAAGAAAAGAATCGGAGAAATCTACAAAAGACGACTCACATTCTCTGGGGAAGAGACCAGCTTGTCCAGCTCCTTGAAGTCTGCAATGATTGGCCCGTTCCCGTCGTCACTGACCACAAAGAATGTCGCATACGTCGACCGACTAGACTGGTAACTGTCGTACGCTTCAGCGAGAGCGGATAACTGGTTACATTCAAGAAGGACAAGAAATCACATCAGGCGTTAGAATGCTACTTTTTCTCACCATCTCAGCGGAAAAAGCTACACTTTGCTAGAGCTAGCCATATTGAGTGGACAGAAAATTCTGAAAAGAATGCTTTCTAGCTATGGAAAGATGTCTTCAGAAAAAAAAGGTATCTTTCACATGATATTAAGACAACAAATGTAAATGCCCAAGCAAAAAGTTATTGATTTTCTCTTCAAATTAATAATACAAGACTCAGAATCAAAACCAAACAGAGAAAAAAAAAACTATGATGTCTTTTCCCTCTCATAAAAGTCAGGTTTTCTGTCCATCGTCCCACTGAGAAAGGTGTCATGGTAGTCACAGTATTGTATTTTACTCTTTTTTAATCCCGGGACGTAAGCGCCCCGTAGGCCATGGGCTTTTGGTTAATGTTACTCACTTCGGGAGTCAACATAAAAAGTCAGACACTACACTCGGGCTTGATTTTAGATTGCTTGGTGTCGTGTATGTTCGTCTCTCTAGTTTACAGTCGTGTGTGTATACTAACATTGCAAAAGGTTGTCAAACTCAAACACACAGTATATTGAATAAAACTCACATTGCAACTAAAAATTCTAAATAAAAACTAAAGGACAAACAACACGCTTCCCTTATTAACAACAGGCTGAGACATCTAAATGTGAGGCAGCGTAATGAAATCAGGTGCTCGTCAAAATAACCAAAGTGAAGAAACTGGCATTTTTCTGCAGGTTCGTGACTTTTTATTGAATCATTGTTATTTTGGTTCAACACCTTCCATGCCCGTTCGTTTCTGTGTGGATTATTACTGAAAAACGTTGATTAAAGGCTTACAAAATGTAAATTTTCAGTTTCCACGAACTCTCAAGCTAAGGAAATAACTAATCTTTGACGTCCATTTTCTCACTAACTTTACCTCTCTCGACTTCCTTCATTCGCAAATATCTAAACTTGTACTCAAGATAAATGGACATTTTTTTTTCATTCAAAGCAAAATAAATGAACAAGCTTTAAGATGATACCAATAACTCTACATGCCCAAAAACTGACGAGAGCCTGATTCCACCACGTTGACACAAATTGTTACCTTTTCCGGTGGTAGAACCTCCTGAAGTGCCCGAGGAGGCTCCGAATAGACCGACTTCTCTGGGAACTTGAGTGCAGGAAATGCAAACCAGTAATAGTAATGATACTTCTTTAAATCCTGGAGATCAAAACACAATCCAAACAATTAAGCACCTTTATGGAAAGTATCGTGCGGCAGGGGAAAAGATCAAGGGGAAGGCCGTGTGGAACCTGGAGAAGAATTACAGAAATTGATGTACAGAAAAGTGGGAAGACATGGAATAACATCAAGAGGCTAACACAGGATAGAGAAAAGTAGAAAGAGCAGCTCGATCCTCAGGCATGGGATGTCCTCAATTACTTCTCGCAGCCTTGGTGGTTTGCCGGCAGTGGCTGCCTGCAGTACTGACAAGGCGTCTGTTTTGCTGGAAGTGGCTGCCTGCAGTACTGACAAGGCGTCTGTTTTGCTGGAAGTGGCTGCCTGCAGTACTGACAAGGCATCTGTTAAGAATGCTTCCTGGCTTTGGGGGTCTACCACATTCTTGATGATGTTTGCTGCATGTGTTAGAGCCTCCGTCTCTGTCCCTGTAGTTTGTACAATGCTGCCCTGTTGGGACTGCCTCTGCTTGACAACCTCCATTTGGGAACTCTACATACACTCCCACTCCTGCTCTTTTCAAAGCATCAGTAGCAGATCCGTCCGTATAGATTCTTATCCATACTTCTAGCGGAGTATCTTTCTTCAAGCATGGACAGGGAGAGGGTTTGAAAAGAACTATTCCTGATGAGAAAGTTTCCTTTGAGGATACAGAAGACAACAGCGAGGATGATAAGTCTGACTTACAGATAACAACAGTCCCACGTCACGCTGAACAGATTAAGACAAAAGTAACATTGAAAGGGAATCTAATAAAAGGATCATATAACATGAAAGCACCAACAAGCCACCAGTTACGCTGAAGTGGCACATGGAACAAGACAGTATTATTTACTCTGATATAATTGCTCAAGGACCGTTCATAGTAAATTAAGACAAAAAACCTCTCTCTTTCTCGCTCTCTCTCTCTCAAACACATACATGTACACACATACACACAGAAACACATATACAAACATCATTCATGACCAAAAACAAGAACAAACGAAAAGCATGGATAAATAGTTATCTAAATATAATCCGGTCTCTGAAACTGAGTGATTCATACAAATGAAATGGGTAACAATGTAACAAAACAAATAAAATAGCACACGAAGATAAAAAGGTAGAACTTACTGAAAAGGTCAGGAGGACAAATCTGCACAACTTTTCTGGGTGCTCCAAAACTTTGCCACTTGTGATGTCTTCCCACAACTGAAAAGATGAGTTCAACATGAAAACATATATATATATATATATATATATTATTACTGCCCTGAACTTTCAGAGAGATGATTTTTTTTTTAAAGAAACGAAACGCCTCCCCACACCCACCCCCCCCAGGTTAAGGATTTTGTTGTTGTGTTCTAGAAAAGTTATTTCCAAAGTTCATTGACACATTGATAGACATTAAAACTCTTGAGTGGCAGTTTTTGATGAGTCAGTGCAGTACTTTGGCCATACATCTCAAGGAAGAGACCAGGATAGCATGAGTAAATTTAGCAAAAGAAGACTACACCGAGTACCCATACGTCACCTGAACTAAAAGAAAAAAATAGCAAGATGAACGACAGAAACAACACGTAAAACGGACAGAAACTGAATCTTCTTTTTGCATAACTGAAAGATTTTTTTTTTAAATTACCATTTATGATATTTTACCCAGCTTTGCAGTCAGTTACTGCATAGATTGAACTGTGTTGAGATGGCCATGGACCTGGTGCGTGTGGCTTGTGTTTGTGTGTGTGTGTGTGCGTGAGTGTGTCAGTTTATGTGTGTGTGTGTGTGCATGTGTGCACGTGTGTGTGTGTGTATAAGTTGTGTGAGTGAGTAGGAGTGTTGTGTGGGTGTGACTGTCTTAGCATGCACATCTCATTCAAATGGAATAACAATAACAATTGATAACAATTGTATACCATCTATATCCCCACTTATCAGCAAGCACTATGCACTTTAAACCTATATGTGAGGCAGCGTGGTGGAATCAGGCTCTCATCAAAATAATCAAAGTGAAGAAACTTGCATTTTTTCGCAGGTATGTGAATTTTTATCTATTTTTTTTTTTTTTGGCTCAACACCTTTCATGCCCATTAAAGAACTTATTTCTGTTTGGATTTTTCCGAAAAACGTTGATTAAAGGCACAAAAAATGTAAATTTTCAGTTACCATGGACTCTTAAAAGCTAAGGAAATAACTAATCTTTGGCGGCCATTTTCTCACTAATTTTACCTCTGAAAACAGGTGACCCCCACCTCCTTCCTTTGCAAATATTTCGACTTGTATTCAAGATAAATGGATATTTCTTTCATCCAAATAAAGACAAGTAAACAGGCTTTAAGATGATAGGTAATAATTCTACATGCCCGGAAATTGACGAGAGCCTGATTCCACTACGCTGCCTCACATATGATTACCCCTAAAAGTCACTTGAACACTCTGAAACATTCTTGGCTTCCCAGAAAACAAACAGTGCAAGCAGCTGATTGAGCGCTCAAGTACTACTACTAACAAACTGACAAAATCATTCACTGACTACAGTTGGTTACCCATTCCCAGTATTCCCACTTGAGACAAGTGAGGAAAATTCATTGTAAAGTCAGTTAAAGTGCTTTTTTCAAGGACACAACTTCAGGCCCCTGACAGGGTTTGAGCCCATGATGACCTTTCCAGCTGCAAGCCCATCAGCCACCATAAAGACACAAGAACGGTGCGATGATCTTTCAATTTCAATTCCTTAACCCTATCCGTACGTCATGCTTTACTCTGTGCCATCACTTTCAAAGAGAAAATTTACTCGTTAATCCAATCCGTACGCTTTGCGTAGCAGTCTGTCAAAATAATTGTTTGAGAAAAACTGAAAGTTTCAAAGAGATCTTCGTACTAGAAGTATTCTAAAATGTGAAGAATAACCACGGGGCGTATGGATAGGGTTAACATACTTCCTGTCCCACACCGCTCAGGAGTTGCTTCTTGTCCATTTCCCGGAACTTTTCTATGGTGTTTGTGTTGCACAGTGTTCCACACACAGGGAAACTCCTCGGTGGTGGCTTCCATTCTCTGTAACCATTTAATAAGGGGAAAATAAAAAGTTAAAAAAAGATTGACAACACACTTGCAGGGAGATGCTTAAAAACTTTTTAAAAGCACTATGCTAGATGGTATTATATATATATATATATATATCTTGGCAAAAAACAGCCTGGTATAAGTTGCCTTGTACAAAATTCTAATTACTTGAAGTCTTTGCTGTTGCTGATGGTATTCGGTTATTTTCAAACCCTTTTGAACACGGCTAAATTATCTGATCATAAAAGTGGGACCTCCAATATTCATCATTGCTCTAACAATGCAGAGATGTGGAAATTAATATAGCAAATCTATAAAAACAGGAGCTGGATTCACAAAGCACTATTTTTATTTTTGACGAGAAACATCTACTGCACTGATGAGTGCCGACCAGCCAGTTCCCTCTTCACTCAACCCCTCCCAAAAGTACAATTCATATTGTGGTATTAGTTAACTATTTTAGCTTCAAGGACAATGCTAAAAGTGTATTTATAACATACCTGTTGAAGGCTGCATAGTCTACCGTCATTTGTGGAGGAATTCCCTGAGCATTTCCTTATGGATTGAGAAGGAGGAAACATTTTTTTAATTAAACAACATTATCGAAACAGCGTCATTAAAAATATTTCAATCCTTAAATTTATAATAGAAGGCGCTTGCCAACCTGAACAATTACCCCCTCACCCGTGAGCAACTTTGTAATTTTGGTGGGCAGCTGGGGTCACAGATCACACCTGTGAGTGTTGCGACTGTTTTTATCTAATACCCCAGTAAACTTTTGGTCCACTTTGGAAAGGGAGTGTCTACGTACATGGGAACTGGGCACGTAGTCTCAGTATCTATGTACACGGTAACCGGGTACTTAGTTTCGGGGGGCCTTGAGCTCTGTGCATGGTAACTGCTTCGCCTCCCCCCCCTCACTGATCACTGGACGGGCCCATCACGACGCCGCACTGCTGACAGCCAGTTAGGAGCCCACCTTCAGCCCCTGATCGCCCAAACCCCTTCCCCCAGACACAGCTCGAGATCTCTCAGGCAGTATCCAAGTTTGACACTTTCCTTGCCCCGCTAAACCCAAGCATATATAAAAGTAGTTAAGTTTATATATATATATATATATATATATATATAGAAAAATAAACGGGATTCCGGTAAAGTCCCACTGTAGGGGTCAGATGGAGAAGTCGTACATCCAGAACTACACAGGGTGTCTACTTTGAACTTGGATAGAGAAAAAAGGGCAGCTGAAATGGCAATTGTCGAACCACGTGGCCTCACACAATGCACACACATATCGGAGAATGTCGGAGTTGGCGGAGTGCACACACAACACAGCTATTAGTTTTAGTAGAGGTTTTACAGCGCTCGCAACTGCATAAGGTCATGATATGAGCGCCAGAAGATTAGAGGTGATACAAGAGAGTAACAAACATAAAAAAGGAGGGGAGATAAGGACGATAGATGTTTGAGGAAAGAAGAAGCAAACCACACCAGAGCACCCACCAACCACCCAGACTATGAGCCCAGTTACCGTGCACTTAGACCCTCCGTTTTGGAAGTAATATTTTGCAGGTAGGTGACACGAAAACTTTAGAAGTCTCTAATAAAAAGGGAGGCAAACATGGGCATTGGCTGTAAAAAGGTTGACAAGCCATGTTTTAAATCAAACATTGGACAGTGAGCAACACATGGGTTCCACATCACGAAAAGAGTATAAAACCACCTGACTGCCTCAAGATTCACATGACTCAGTGATCAAAATCAATGACAGTAGGCTAGTACAGCCACGGTACATTCCACCAAGACCAAAATTGGTCTACTAGATCTAGATCTAGATCTAGTCTAGAATCTAAATATAATGCACAAATGTGTTAAACATAGGTTCAAGATTACAGTTAACAGCACTGTGCTACAGTACGTCTAACATCTCCAATAACAAATTAGCCTGAAAATAAAGTTACCATTTGAATAGAAGCCATTGATTGTTTGATGACTCTCATCAAGACCAAACTCATTGAGTTTCTTTTCCGTCAATATTTGCCAAAATCCAGGGTCCACTGCGCTTGAGAACGGAGCGTACTGAATGTGAGACATCTCACACCCTATATAAAATGAATAAACACAAAACAATAATCCCCTGTAATTAAACTGTAATGCAATGAGTCACAGACTTGTTTGGCACAGCCCTTCAAGAAGCACTCTTCCAAACAAACACTCCCCTTATAGAACGACTGTTCCTCCTTTCGGTTTCGAACGTTGTTGTGTCATGTGATCGTAGATATAAATAGTATCAGCAATAAGCTGTCTTCCGGCTTGCGACTGTTGAAGAAGGGCCAAAACTGTTGCATCAATCAGCACTTCTAAATTGTCCAGCTTATTTCTCTTTAAAATGATTTTAGAGATCAAGTAAGAACCACC